ATCCTTGGCATCTGAGCATGGATATAAAGTCATCAGGTAGATTTCAATGGTAATGTTTTTCACATCTACTAATTATTTTTTTTAATCATTTAAAAAATTTTAATAACTACATGAGAACGTATCTGATAAATTAATATGAATTGCGAAGCAAGAAGTCTCTGAGCCAGGTTTATCTAGATAAACTGAGCTAACGAATCTTCTGTCTAGTTGCTTCCAAATCACTAGCCTTCGTTGTGATCCTCGACTAAGCATACCGGCTTCTGAGCTCGCTCCAGTCTGGTGCTGCGGGTGCAGCGCATTCACGCTCGGATGAGGTTGCCGTACCTTTAAGAACTTCCCGCTCTTATGAGTTTAGCTAAGTAACTGCCATCCGGCTCACAAGTTTGGCTTCCTACTCCGTCGGGTGCCCCCTGGTGCTCATCACCTCTATTATCACCAGCAGTAGCAAAGGGGTCCTGGGAGCATAAGGGATGTTTTGAAGAAAAGCATTCCATTACTCAGAACTGTACGGATCTAGGTTTCCCTAGTCCTGCACATTGGTATAAATTGCATATGTACAAGTCTAGAGAAAGAGGGGGTGTTGCTTTACAAAGTCTCTGAGCAGAAGAAAGACGGAAAACAAATTCCATCCCACTACAGTGGCAGAAGTCAACTGCACGCTCTCAAGTTTGTGATCAAAGACGCAAAGATATAAATTATCCTGGAACGGGATCTGCCCCGGTGCCGTCATCTCCCTCCCTCCGTCTCCCCCTCCCGTTTTCTGGCAAAGCAAAGAGTTCACACAGATCCCGGATTTCAGTAGGGCAGCCCATCTTTGCCGCTGGAATATTTGTTTGGGAACTGGAGCTGGGCATGTGGCCTTAGCTGTGGAAGGGAAGATGGGATGTATTTGTCTGCGTCTCCTTCCCTAACCCATTTCATCAACAGTAATCTCATGTGCACTCTTCACAAAGTTTGGGGCAAGTCGCTGGCTCCTCCGGCTTTCGGAGCTCAGGCTCTGGTCTGGCTTTGCCTTCCCCTCCACCCCCATACCCCTGATCACTCAAGACTAAGGAGGTTCTCCATTAAAGATGAACAACAGATCATTTTTCAGTGCATGGCAGCTCTAAGAGCTGTCTTAGCAGAGCATGACGGAAGTCTCCCGTTGTCTTTCACATTTCTTCCCTTCCCCCGCCCCCGCTCCCCATCCTTTTTTTCTTCCGCAATTAACTACTAAATAATGGTTTTGTTAGTGAGCAGTGACTTCAGGATAGGGTTGAACGACCCACGATGACGCTCCCATCAGGCTTCCAGAAGGGGCGGTTTCCAAGACAGAACTACAATTCCCAGAAGGCATCAGTCTAGAGCAATCGTAGAGCATCACGGAAGTCGTAGGAGGCTTCCTCCTTGGCCCCTTCCACGTCTTCCACTCCCAAACTACCAATCCCAGAGCGCCTGGAGCCCGACGCGCCTGCGCAAGAGAGCCCGAGCGCGAAGTGGGCGGGGCCGCCCCAGGCAGCGGGGGGCGGGGTCCAAGCGGGCTGTGTGGAGGCTTCAGACATCGGCGCCATTTAAAGCGGAGAGTTTCCCGGGCGGACGCGGCTCTTCTCCTCGGCCATTCCGCACTCTCCTCTTCGCTGACAGAAGGCGCCTAGTGGGGTGACTGCTCTTTTCTTTCCCTACCCCCTCCTTCCAGTCCTTTCTGTCTCCTCCCCTCCTGGCCCTGAGAAGTAGCGGAGCCCGGGCCCCGCGGTGAGCGGCCCTCCCCTCCCCACAGTTCCCTCCCTCCGCAGCCCCCGGCGCCGGCCCAGGAGGGGAAGAGGTTTGCCAGGCCCGGGGCGGGCGGGGAGGCCTCGGGGACGGGGGGGGCCGCTCCTCAGGCTTCGAGGCTTCGGCCCTCGACACCTGGTGATGGGCGCGCTGTGAAACTGGTCCCCTCTCCCGGGAGCGTACTGCCCGAGGCGGCCGCCGAGCGACGGGGGATTCGGGCCGCGGCCCTCCCTCCCTGCGCGGCCCCTCCCACCTCTTGTGCCCGGGGCTGCCACCGCCCGGCGTCGGAGCTCGTCCCTCACGCGCGGCGCCTCCGCCCTCGGGGTCTATCCCGCCGTACTCGGCGGGCGGCGGCGGCGGCGGCGAGAGCTGAGCCGTCTTCTCATTCGACGCATCCGCTCGCCCGGGAACCGGCCCCGCGCCCTGCTCCTCATGACTGCGGCGCCTCTGCTGCCCCAGCCCTACCGGCCGCCGCTCGCCGCAGGATGGATGCGGACTGTGCGACGCTAACCGTGGCTGCGCCCCCGACGAGCCCGCCCCGTGAGCCGCAGCAGCCTCGGTGCCAGCCGCAGCCGGACCCAGAGCCCCGCGTTGCCCTCGGGGCACCTTGTCAGTACTGAGCCCGAGTCCGGGCAGCCCGGAGCCCTGCCGCCAGTTCGCGGCTCCTGCGGGCCTCCCTCCCTCCCTCTTCATTCACAAATCCGAGCCCGCTCTCTTCACTCCAGTGGACCCACCATGTCGGGCGGTGCGGCCGACAAGCCGAGCGGCACTTCAGGCTTCCTGTCGCCGCCGGCGCCGGTCCCCAAGAATGGCTCGAGCTCCGATTCCTCCGTGGGCGAGAAACTGGGGGCCGCGGTGAGCGACGCTGGAATTGGCAGGACCGAGGAATACCGGCGCCGCCGCCACACTATGGACAAGGACAGCCGTGGGGCGGCTGCCACCACCACCCCCACGGAGCACCGCTTCTTCCGCCGGAGCGTCATCTGCGACTCCAATGCCACCGCCTTGGAGCTGCCCGGTCTCCCTCTCTCTGTCCCCCAGTCCGTCCCCTCGGCGGTGCCCCAGAGTGCTCCCGCCGAGCCTCACCGAGAGGAAACTCTGACCGCCGCCGCCTCCCTGGTGGCCCAGCAGCCCCCAGCCGCAGCCGCCCCGGGGGAGCAAACCGTCGCCTCCTCTGCCACCTCGACTGGCCCTGGCAGTACCAGCAAAGAGCGCCCCGTGTCCCAGCCCAGCCTTGTGGGGAGCAAAGAGGAGCCCCCGGCCGCCCGGAGTGGCAGCGGCGGCGGCGCCAAGGAGCCGCAGGAGGAGCGCAGCCAGCAGCAGGATGATATCGAAGAGCTGGAGACCAAGGCCGTGGGCATGTCCAACGACGGCCGCTTCCTCAAGTTTGACATCGAGATCGGCAGGGGCTCCTTCAAGACGGTCTACAAAGGTCTGGACACCGAAACCACCGTGGAAGTGGCCTGGTGTGAGCTGCAGGTAAGGCCCCGCCCACTCCTGTCCCGAGGTCCCCGGGCAGCCCAAATTGGGCTCGGAGGAGCCAGTTTAGCGAGCTCGTCCCTTCCTTGTAGTCGTTCCACCCCGAGCGGGAGCAAGTTGAAATCGGGAGGCCGGGCGGCCTGCAGTTGGCTGTCTGGAGGACAGGAATTATTGGTATCCAGGCTCTCCTACTAGGCGAGGGGTGAAAGTCGTCTTCGTGCACCGAGTGTGCGCTTCGTGTCAGCCAGGAACTTGGAGTTCTGCGGAAAGGTTTCCTTCTCTTCTTAGTTCTGGGGAGTGAGGTGGCTTTAGACCTGGGCGAGTGCTCCCCCACTGGGATAGACAGCGAAAATCTCCCAGCCTTTCGGGACGTTTGTGCTCCAGGTAAATACGGAGCCTTTTCTTCCACGCGCGTTGCAGTCTCCTGGGAGTGCCTGCAGCGGGCGGCGAACTGCTCTTGTGTAGTGTTTAGTAAGTTATAACAGATGCTTGGCCAAAGTGGCAGGGCATGCCTGTGAATCCCAGGCACCCCAGACGCTCAGGCAGGGGACTCAAGAACAGGGCTAGTCTGGGCTCCTTAATCTTCAAAAAAAAAAAAAAAAAAAAAAACGGAAACACCCACTACACCTCCTGGGTCCCAGCTCCTTCCCTATAGTGCTTTCCGTTAAATGCCATGAGACTAGTAAGGCACAGGTTGTGTCTGCTGTTGTGTTGTACCCCACAGATGTTTTAAGCCTGTGGCTTCGAGCTGGGACCTGACAGTGATCGTTAAAGTGACTGCCTTCAGCCTGTTCACTCTGTACTGAAGAGTACAGGAGTCCTGCAAAACTGTGTAATTGGTTTAATCTTGTTATAAAAGGCTGGTTTGTGACAGTGTCCCAAAGTATAGCTCAGACTGGCCTCAAACTCTTGATTCTTCCTCTTGATTCTTCTGCCTCAACCTCTGGTGCTGGGGTCACAGGTGTGAGCCACACTGTGCCTGGTATAGAAGAGTTTTTTTATGCTAAACTTTCCCAAAAGTCCAAAGAACAGTGCTTCCTTTTTTTAACATCATAGGGAAGTTTTCATGTTATAAATAAGGACGTGTCATTCTAATGTCCAAGTATATTCTGGACTTAGATTAATTTGAATTACTCATTGCTTGGCCTACAGCAGCAATAAATTAATATACAAATGATGCAAAAGCACCTATGCAAATATTGGCTTGCTTAACTCTTGCTCTTCCTGGGATGTGAACATAAATTAATGGTAGAAGCAGAATTTCTGCTACATTATAGGTGAAAGTGCGTTACTTCTGGAGAAAACGGATCAACCTGAAAATAGGATTGGAAAGTAATTGATCTCCAGAAGTAGTAAATTAACAACCCTTTCAATGTCAGTTTCTAAATGACCCAAGGCCATATGAAATGTGAAGGGAATAATGTCTGGAATTTGTTTCTAAAAATCTAATGAGGTGAATGTAACAGTCACCAGCTTCAAATGTTGTTCCACATGATAGCACCATGCATGTTAGTTCACCAGTCACCAAGCTTTCGCCCTACTTCCCTAGATGCTTGAAATTTTCTCTAATGGAAATTGATGTGAAAGGAAGTTAACAGCATGTGAAAGTAAACAAAACTGACAAGTTCTTTAGGAACATAGTTTCTTGAGTTCTACACTTGATATGGAACTTCTAATTACAATATGAAGTAAAAACTCATCAATTTTATAGTGAATTAGAGTTGGAAAGAGGACACCATTTTTTTTTTCTTAATTAAACTTTTTTTTTTACTATGAACAATACTTTAGTCATTTCCGGTTACAACTGAAACTCTAAAAATATGGAACGCTTCACGAATAAATTTTATTATTTTTATTTTATGTGTATATTGCCTGCATGTAGGTAAGTGCACCTGTTTTGTGCAGTGCCAGCAGAGGTCAGAAGAGGCTGTCAGCTCCCCTGGGACTGGAGTTACAGACAGGTGTTAGCTGCCATTGTGGGTGCTGGGATTCAAACCCAGGTCTGCAAGAATAACCAGTGTTCTTAACTGTTGAGCCATCTCTCCAGCCCCAAGGACACCATTTTTAAAATTTAAACTTTAAGGTTTTTTTTTTTTTTCTCCCTGAGGCAGTGTCTCACTCCATAGTCCAGGCTGTCCTTGGTGCTCACTGTATAGTCCAAGCTGGCCTTGAGTCCTTCATTGTCCTGCCTCAACCTCTGGAGTGCTGGGATTACAGGCTCAAGCCACCATGCCTGGCAACTTTTTTTTAAAAAGATAAACTTCTCAAAATATGCCCTTATTCTTACTAGACAGTCTTACTCAGATATTTAGAGCTAGGAGGGTAGAGAGATGGCTAAGCAGTTAAGACCACGTATTGCTCTTCCATAGGACCTGAGTTTGATTCTTAGCACCCACATTGGGTGGCTCACATTGGGTAACTCCAGCCTTAGGGAGATCTTAGGCACACACACGCACACAATTTAAAATGGTAAAATAAATCTTTAAAAAAAAAAAAATGGATCTGTTTGATTGACAGTTGCTAATGGTCCTGGAATTTAATTCTTTTATATTAGTTGCATGTTCAAGAGTGTGTGTGTGTGTGTGTGTGTGTGTGTGTGTGTGTGTTTTGAGACAGCCCAGGCTAGCCTGAACTCACTGTGTAGCACAGGCTGTCAACAAGCCCAAGGCAATCCTACTTCAGGCACCTAAGTGCTGGGATTATAGATATGAGCCACCATGTCTGGCTCTTGCCCACTCCCTCTTATTTTAAAGCACTGAACCCAGTTAAGTACTGAGTATTGTATAGATTAATTTTGTTATTTGTTTCAATTATTTCACTTTTTTTTGTTGTTGTTTTTAGTTTTCTTTTTGAGACAGGGTCTCCCTGTAGCCCCAGCTGTCTTGGAACTCACTATGTAGACCAGGCTGGCCTTGAATTCACAGAGATCCACCTGTCTTTGCCTCCCAAATGCTGGGATTAAAGGCGTGCACCACCATGGCCGGCTCAATTATTTCACTTTTTAAAGAACTTCTCAGAATGTAGTATGCTTGTTTTCCCTTTGACACCAGGGAGTCTGGTAATTCATTGTCTCGGAACTAATAATACAGTGCAAAAAGCTTAGTTTGTCTAATTCACAATAAGAACTTTATCTAAGCTCCTTGATTTTTCTTAGAGCTCATAACTTTTTGGACTTAGTTCTCTATGTAGGCATGAGCATGACCAAACTAAGGAAAATCTTAAATGTCTATTTCTTCTTCCTTTTTAAAAAGCTTTTATTTATTTTCATTTGTGTGTGTGTCAGTGGTTGGGGCTATGCAGGTACCTGTGGAGGCCAGAAGGGGGTGTTGGATCCCCTAGAGCTGGAATTACAGGTAGTTGTGAGCCATCCTGTGGGTGCTAGGAACTGAACTTAAGTCCTCTGGAAGAGCAACAAGTACTCTTAACCTGCGTCATCTTTCTAACCCCCACATTGACTATTATTTTAAGGCCATGTCCTAGTTTCAAAACTTTTGTGTCTTGTATTTCTACAAAATTTTTGTTTTTGTTTTAAAAAAATTATCACCACAAATTTAAAAACTAAATGTGATTGTTCTAGTGTAAGAATTCTGTATGGTAAAGCCTGGTGTGATGGTACACACCTTTAATCTTAGCACTTGGAAGGCTGAGGCAAGCAGATCTCTGTGAGTTCAAGGCCAGGTTGGTCTGCATAGTGAGTTCAGGCCAGCTGGGGCTACGGGGAGACCCTGTCTCAAAAAGACCAAAAAAATAAAAGAATACCTACTTTAGCTAGGTGTGGTGGTTCACATCTGTGATCTCTGCACTTGGGAGGCTGAGGCAGAAGGACTGCTCTGAGTTAGAGTCTAGCCTAGGCTACAGAGTGAGATTCTGTCTGAAAGTATATCTCAAGGCTTGGTACATAGATATTAAATATAATGATGCAGCATCTTACTTATATTGACCTTTCTTGAGGTTATCTGAAGATTTTTTGTTTACATTAATGCTTGAAAAATAATGTGGCAAATCTTACTCTTGTATTCTTAGGCGCATTGGAGTTGAATGTGATGTCATTGATGCTTTCAAATTTCTTAGCTTCTTCTAGCTTTTCCTTATAACCTTCCAATATAACACTTTCCCAAATGCTATCTTGGCTGAACTCCTTGTATCTAGAATCTGCTAAGATCTATGCTGCATCTCTTTACATGTATCTGTATTTTTCTCGTAGGTGGATCCCATATTTAATTCCTATTTATTATAATTGAAGTTGTTTGCATTTGTCTATTCCACTAGTATTTGGAAAGTTCACTGTGTGGTCTAATAAAACACTGTATGACATACAGAACCAAGGCAAAATAATTGCATTCTAGATTACCCAATTAACTGCTTTGGAGTAAAGAACATAACCTGTAGTACTGATTTTTTTTTTAATTATTTTATATGTATGTGTGTGCCTGAGTATATGTATGTACACAACATATGTGAAGCGTGTGTTGATCAGAAGAGGGCATCAGATCTCCTGGAGCTGGAGTTAATGGGCAGTTGTGGGCTGCCATGTTAGGAGCTGGACCCCTTTACAAGAGCAATAAGCACCCTTAACTGCTGAACCATCTCTCCAGCTCCTGAAGTACTGATCAGCAATGTGTCTTAACTGATTTAGGAGTGTTGAGGATCTCTTGAAATAGTATGTGAAGGTACTTTAAAAAATATAAACAAAAGGCTTAGAATAGCTACTTAAAGGCTATAAATTGTTTCTTTTTACAATATGAGTATACCTATCAAAGGTATACATTAAATTCCTTTTCCAAATAAAAACATTGCTTGTTTTTTGAGACAGTATGTCACAGTCCAAGTTGGATTCAAATTTGAGATCCTCCTCACTCAGTTTGCTAAGTGTTTGGATTACAGGGTGTGTACCACCATCACATCCAACTCAGAAAGACTTTCATTATTTTTTTAATTGTCCACTTTCTTTGAAACTTATTTTTAGTAGAAAAAGTATTAGGTACCTTAGCATTTTCAAG